ACTTCTGGCGGAGTTACCAGGTAACTCTAGGTCAAGTCCACCCTTCATTCTGGCGCATGGTTTATGTGATCAGGCATTTTTCGAGCATGATAGAGGGAATGACCTTCACCCTGAACCATTTGATCTGGATGTATAGTCCTCGTCTACTTCACGGAGGCTTAGTCAAGCTTCGCTGTCGAGCCTCGAGGTCCCTTTTTGCCCCCACCGAGGAATTCAGGGATGATGGTTGATTAAGCCGATTCGCTCGAGTTAGGACGTCTGGTTTGATTCCAGCGGAAAAGATGTCGTTCCTTGAGAAGTGGAACGTTGGGCGTAAGTAGACGTGGTGCCCTTTACCCTTATTGGTAACTTTTCTTTATACATCTGACTCTGCATTTCTTATCTTTTTAGCCGCATCGATCTACCCTTGTGCAGTGCTGGACTTTCAGGGTTGGGTCGATCGTTTGCACTCAATCTGCCCGTATACTGACCAAGCATGGCGGGATTTATCCCGAGCTCGGTGGGAGGCCGGAGGCCCTGGTAAGTCTTGAGTCTTGATGCATCCGTGTATTTTGATGTAGCTTGCTGTTAGAAGATTTCTCTGTCCCGTGCATTTTAACATCTGCATCTATGCAGGTCTGGGGAGGAATCCTACTGATGAGGGAGGTGTCGTCTGTTGGAGGGGACACTCTGATGCATGACGAGGAAAGGAAGAGGCAGGAGAGCCTATCGGTTGAGCCACCGGAGCCCGAGAGGATCAGAGTGGAGGATTCCAAGGTTGACCCATTAACTCCAGTATTCGGGGCGACGGAAAATCCTCGTACTGAAGGTGAGGGAGAAAGCAGCTTCTCGACACCATTTGAAGGGCGTTTAGGGTTGATTGATCCTCGGGCCATGGGGATAGATGCTTCCAGACATGAGTCTGATGCTGGCGTGGCTCAGCTTCGTGGTAGTAATGCAATGGGTGGGGTATCGAGCACTGACCTTGAATTGATAGGTGGCTGGAGTTCTACCCGAACCAAGATGCCCTTGATAGGCAGTTTGGAGGGACCTCGAGCTGGGACCCGGGATGAACAGAGGACGGAGATTCAGGTTAACCCCGTTAGCCTATTGGATATTGTTGATTCTCCAACGGGGTGGATCCTTCCATCTTCCGAAATGCAAGACGAGTCTCGTGAGGAACCTTTCGTGGCGGGAGCAGTGATCAAAGGCGGAGAAGCACTCGGAAGGCCGGCGATCATTCTTGAGGGTAGTTCCTAGGTCTACGCCTCATCTATTTTTGGTGAGATGGGTAGGCTTTGTGAGAGGGTAACTTTATCTAGCCTTGTCTGCTGCTTCGGTCTGCTCCGTCCTTTATTCTCTTAACTTTTTTAGGCGGTTTCAGGCCGAGGTGCTTTATAACCAGGCCCTCGCCCAGTATCAGGACGAGGTGACTCATCGTGAGCGTGAGAAAGCCTTTTTCACCAAATAGGTTATCCATCCCTTTTTTTGCTATCATTTGAGCCCTTGTAAAATATTGTCGCTTTTAACTCTACGTGCCCCGATCTATGCAGTTTGAGAGGGAAAACACCCTGCTAAAGGGGAGCTTCGGGCCAGGGATGCTAAAATCTCCGAGCTTAGCTGGCATGTGAGTGAGGTGTCTTCTGAAAGGGACAACCTCAAGGAGAGAGTTACCTTAATTGAGCATCAGTTTCAGGGCGCGAAGGAGGATAGCGTCCAGTATAAGAGCCTTCATTTCGAGTTGGTGGCTTCATTGCTCCAGATCAAAGTTGAGGCTGAGGCGCTTGTATTTTTGCATAGGGGAGAGCGGTTGTCGTAGATTCCTACGTTGAGAGGGCGTTCGAGGGGGCTGGCCCAATCTTACCTCGAACCATGGATCGTGCTTAGCCAGGTTCCCGAGGGCTGATCATCGAGGGCGTATTGGAAGGCAACTCGAGCGGGGTTAAAAATGGGGATGGATCCCCAGAGAGGGGGGGACGCCGTCGAGAAGGGGCCATAGGGGGATCCGTAATCGCCTAGATGCAACCTTTGAGGCCGTCTGTTTGGTAATAAAGTAGGATCTGCTATTTTTTCCTATTGATCTCCCTGTTTGTTGTACAATACTTTTATTTTGGCATATGTATGAGGAGAATTCCACGACTCTGTTTCCCTTATTCCCTTTCTGTTTTGAATTCAGCAATGATTGGCGAAAAAACCTTAGACCTGCAATATAGCCCTGTGGCCCTTTTGGGCTGGCACGATAATTGTTCTGTGGCTGGTTGATACGGCCTCCAGCGTGAACCACTGTGAGGGATCTTACTCTTTTTCCCCGCCATTTTGTGTTGGGTTTCTGGGCCGGGTTTGTCCCAAGCTTTATTGATTTCCGCTCTCCCGTGCCCGCATTGTCGGGTGATGACAGTTCTTATCTTTTTCCCTTGGGCATTTCGTTGTTTCAACTATTTTGGGTCCAATCTCCGAGTCGCATTGCAATTCGAGCTTTAATTGACCCTAAATTCTTTCCTGTCTGCATGGTTGGGCAACGACAGCTTTTTATGCTTCGGGCCGAAGTGACCTTACAAGCGCGTGGACTAGAGGCTTACTCGGTTGGTCAATAGTGGCATTTATGCCGTGCCCTTAGGCATGTTGCAGTTTAACTATTTCGGGTCTAGTCTCCAAGTCACATTGCGATTCTAGCTTTAATTGACCCTTAAGTATTTTTAGACCAGTAATAGTGCCTCTTACGCTGTTTTGGTTGTTGAGACCTTTTAATATGTGGCTCGGAGTTTTGCATAGTTAACTATTTTGGATTTGGTCTCCGAATCGGGTTACGATTTGAGCTCATTTTAATCCTCAAGTTGTCAATTTTTAAGCTGGCGACAATGGCTCTTACGCTGTTTGGTCATAGAGATCTTTTAGTGTGCGGCCCAAAGGCTCGTTTGACTGATGATAATGGCACTTACGCTGTTTTTCCCGTGGGCTTTTTGTAAGCTTTGTTATCCGCTCGTTAAGGTCTTTTGAAATAATTTTGCCTGACCCATCGCCGTTCAGGAAGAACCTCGATTTCAAGTCGTTATCGGCGATCTTTGAGCACCTCGGAAGGTTCGTAGCTCGTAGGTTGAGTAGGTCGAAGACTTGTGATTTGGAGTTGACATGGTCGAAGCTCATTTTTACCTGTTGAGGGAAGCCTGTTTTAACCGGTTCTTTCCGAAGTATATTCGAAGTAGTGGCCTGCGATTTTTGTTTAGCGACGGTTGGGCGTCCCCGAGTTGCGTTAGTTTGGTTGTATGAACCGTTTCGACCATAGTTATATGTGTTTGGCCGGAGCCATTTTTGATTCCGAGTGATAGTTTAGGCATCTACACCGAGGGTATGCCTTTTTGGAACTCTTACAAATGCGAAATATAGCATGAACTTCGGGATTTTCATGCCTGTTGAGGTCTTATAGTTTGTCAAGCCTGTTGAGGTCTTACAGTTTGTCATGCATGTTGAGGTCTTACAGTTTGTCATGCCTGTTGCGGTCTTACAGTTTTTGTTGTAATGTAGAATAGATCTGGTTACGCCAAGTCTACCCGCTAGGGGTCTTACAGTTTCGGGTTTTCTAGCGCATGGAGATTAATGATAGTCTCCGAGTCATCGAGTTTGTTTAAGCTTGAAGACCTCTTTTTATGAGCTCAGAATTGCCTTGTAGGGGCTTTACGAGCCTGGAGTTCCGACCCTGGGGTCATACGAGTGCTAAATTGCTGACGCTAAGTCTCTGAGTATCTCGGGACGCATTTGGTGGAGAGTCCTTTACCGTAAGCATGTTGAAATCCCCTTTTTTGGAGTACGATATGCTGAAAGATATTCTTTATTGCTTGGCATAAATACATGCTATTTTGTTACGAGTTCGGCCCGCGTGGATGCGGCTCCTTGGACCATTCGACCCGGTACGTTGTTCCCTATCGGAGCCTTGTTTGTCTTTTTCCCGGGGCGGGGCTGATTGTGAAAGAAATCTTGTAGACTCTTCGAATCCTTCTTGGGAAATGTATGGACGTTGTCTTGTTAAAAAACTTGCTGGCAAAAACCCATTTCAGGATAAAAAAAACCCGGTCGAAGGAAAAGAGTGAAATGTTTGCTTGAAGATATTTATGGGGCTCCACATTGGGCCGCCCTAGCAGTAATACCGCTTAAGCATCGATACATTCCAGTTACTAGAAAACTGCTTGCCGTCCATGGTACCAAGATTATAGGATCCTTTTCCAACTATCCCAGGATACGGTACGGTCCTTCCCAAATTTGGCCCAGCTTCCCTTCATTAGGGTTTCTGGTGTTGAGGGTAACCTTCCTTAGGATCAAGTCTCTGATTCTAAAGTATCGTAGATTCGTTTTTCTATTGTAGTATCTTTTGATTTTCTGCTTCTGGGTAGCCATTCGAACCAACAAGGTTTCCCGTCTTTCGTCGAGCAGATCGAGGGCCGTTGCCATGGCTTCATTGTTTGATCCCTCGCTAGTGTGTCAGAATCTGGCGCTTGGTTCCCCGACCTCCACCGGTATCAGTGCCTAGGCACCATACACTAGAGAGAAGGGTGTCTCCCCGGTGCTCAATTTTGGAGTTGTCTGATATGCCCGCAGCACCTCAGGCAGCGTTTCTCTCCATTTTCCTTGGCGCTTTCCAACTTCTTTTTCAAGTTTTGAATGATGGTTTTAATTGAAGATTCGGCTTGGCTTTTTGCACACGGGTGGTATGGCGTCGATAGGATTCTCTTGATTTTGTTGTCTTCAAGGAACTGTGTTACCTTGTTCCCGATGAATTGCCTCTCGTTGTCGCATGTTATTTTGGACGGGATCTCGAACCGGCATATGATGTATTCCCATATAAAATTGATGACTTCCTTCTCTCTTATTTTCTCTAAGGCCTGCGCTTCCACCCATTTTGAGAAATAGTCAGTCATAAATAAAATGAATCTGGCCTTACCTGGCACCGTCGTCAAAGGGCCGATAATGTCCATCCCCCACTTCATGAATGATAATGGTGATAAAACAGAATGCAGTTGTTCCTAGGGCTAGTGGATTATGGGAGCAAACCTCTGACGCTTGTCGCATTTTTGGACGAATTCCCTAGAGTCTTTTTCAATGCTGCCCCAATAGAAGCCCGCTCTGATCACTTTTCGGACTAAGGAATCGGACTCGGAGTGATTTTCGTAGGTGCCCTTGTGGATCTCCTGGGGCACGTAATCCGGGTAGCCCGGTCCCAAGTATATCACCAGGAAACCATCAAAAGTTCTTCCGTAGAGAGCCCCATTTTCGTCGAGTGAGAACCGGGCCGCTTTGGTTCGCAGGGCCCTCGATTCTTTTGGATCCATGGGTAGCTTCCCATCCTTCAGATAAATGATGTTTTTGTTTCTCCAATTCCATGTCAGGCTGGTGGAGTTAATTTCCGCATGACCTTCCTCGATCACAGATTTGAACAGTTGGACAACGGTTTCGGGGAGCAGGTCTTCTTCTTCAGCGGAAGATATTAGGTTCGCGAGGGCATCAGCCTCGCAATTTTTATCTAGAGGTACATGGACTAAGGTCTATTATTTGAAGAGATGTAATGTGATTTGGATTTTGTCCAAATACCTTTACATCATGTCTTCTCGGGCTTCGTAGTTTCCATTTACTTGGCTTACCACGAGGAGCGAGTCGCATTTTGCCTCGACAGTCTCGGCTCCCAAACCTTTGGCCAACTCTAAACATGCAATCATAGCCTTATACTCGGCTTCATTGTTAGTCAGCTTTGTGGTTTTTATGGATTGCCTGATTATGCCGCCGACGGGCGGCTTTAGGACTATACCGAGTCCAGATCCTCTTACGTTTGCGGCACTATCTATGAACAGGGTCCATACCCTGGAGGATGTACCTAATTTTAATAAAAGCTCCTTCTCTACCTCGGGCACGAGGGTTGGCGAGAAGTCGGCCACGAAATCCTTCAGGATTTGGGACTTGATGGTCGTCTGAGGTTGATACTCGATGTCATACCCTCCGAGTTCGATGGCCCACTTGGCCAATCGACCCGATAACTCAGGTTTATGCAGTACACTCTGGAGGGGATAAGTTGACAGGACACAAATACGGTGGCACTAAAAGTAAGGCTTCAGTTTGCACGAGGCGCTTATTAGTGCGAGACACAATTTTTCCAGATGGGGATATCGGGGTTTCGGAGTCCCCTAAGGTTCGGCTCACATGATAATTAGGAAATTGCGTACCTTTCTGTTCTCGGACCGGTATGCCGCTTACTGCCATTTCGGATACGGCCTGGTATACGTATATCGTTTTATCCTCCTTGGGCGTGTGTAGCAAAGGCGGGCTAGACAGGTTCCGTTTCAATTCTTCCAGGGCGCGTTGGCATTCTGGAGTCCATTCGAAGTTGTTCTTTCTTTTGAGTAGGGCAAAGAAATGGTGACTTTTGTCCGATGATCTTGATATGAATCTGCCCAGGGCCGCGATCCGCCCTGTCAGCCGTTGAACGGCTTTTATGTTGTTCACCACCGTAATTTCTTCAATGGCCTTTATTTTGTTGGGATTGATTTCGATCCCCCTGTTTGAGACCATGAAGCCCAGGAATTTGCCCGAGCCTACTCCGAAGGCGCACTTCTCAGGATTGAGCTTTATGTTGTAGCTTTTGAGGTTGTCGAAGGTTTCCTGCAAATGGGTCAGATGGTCCTCTGCGCGTAGGGATTTAACTAGCATATCATCAATATATACCTATATTGATTTTCCTACTTGGTGCTCGAACATTTTTTTAACTAGCCGTTAGTATGTTGCTCCCGCATTTTTTAGCCCGAAGGGCCTTACGTTATAATAATATGTATCGTATTTCGTGATAAATAAGGTCTTTTTCCTATCCTCGGGGTTCATCTGGATTTGATTGTACCCCGAGTAGGCATCGACGAAAGTGAGGGTCTCATGGCCGGCCGTAGTATTGATTAGGCAATCGATATTAGGCAATGAGAAGGAATCCTTTGGGCACGCTTTGTTCAAATCTTTATAGTCTACGAACATCCTTAGCTTATTCCCCTTTTTTGGTACTACCACTACGTTATCTAGCCATCGGGATACTTTACCTCCTTGATGGATCCAATTTTAAGGAGTTTCGCCACTTCCTCTTTGATGAAAGCATGCTTTATCTTGGACTGCGGTCTTTTCTTATGCTTCACGGGTTTGAATTTGGGGTCAACGCTTAGTCTGTGAGAGGTTATTTCTGGTGGGATACCTGTCATATCTAAGTGGGACCAAGCAAAACAGTTGATATTATTACTAAGGAATTGAATAAAGCCTTCCCTGAGTTTAGGGGTCAGCCCCGTTCCCAGGTATACCTTGAAATCCGGGAGGTGTTTGATCAAAACGGTCTGCTCCAGCTCTTCAACTGTTGACTTGGTCGCATCGGATTCCTCAGGGGTGACGAAGGTTCGGGGTGCAAAGAAGTCTTCCTCATCATCTTCAAAGGTCCGCACGCTTCCCTCATCATCCGAGGTCGGGCATGTCATGGTGGACTGCGAACATTTCCCTTGCTGCCCGTTGTTCTCCATGTATGGTCGTGATGCCATTCCTGGTGGGAAACGTTATCACCTAGTGCAAGGTCATTTTGTTGTGTATCTAAGGCCTGCCAAGTAGGGCGTTGTATCTCATGTCGCCATCGATGACCTGAAACTCGGTGTTCTGGGTTGTGCCAGACGTGTCGGTCAGGAGGGTGATTTCTCCTTTCGTTTCTTCTCTGATCATGTTGAAACCACGGAGGACCCGAGGTATGAGAACAACTTGATTGAGCAGCTCTAGCTATTCTACTACTTCTTACCTAATTATGTTGATCGAGCTGCCTGGATCCACGAGCACACACTTTATTCTGGTGTTGTTTGAGAAAAAAGAGATTACTAGCGCGTCGTTGTGCGGTTCCATCATAGCTTCGAGATCCTCTTCGCTGAATATGAGGGTTTCTCCAAGTAAGCATTCTCGGGCCGGCCCCTCCTCGTAGCGAACGTTCTCGCTGATTTGGACATGGGTCCTCGGGGAACATTGGCTCCCCCAATAATCATGTGGAAATCGGCCTCTAGGTCGGTTGTGCCCTTTTCTCTGTCGCCTTTGAGGTTTGGGCTTCCCATTTCACTAGTCGAGCCAAGCGCTTCGTCCTAAAAGAAGAGATCTTTGGACGAGAAAAAGTGTGAAAGATAACGTGCGTTTGTGCAATGGAACCAACAAGAAAATAATCACTATTATTTTTAGCCCCACGGTAGGCGCCATACTTTTTGCCGTGAAAATGGTAACAACAATTAAATTTGTTAATGGGATTCTAAAAATACGTGATCTATTCCAAGCTAGTTGTTAGAGTAGTCGATGCTAATAATATGGTGTTTAATGATGAAATGCAAACTAAAACGAGATAGTAATCGAACCGAAGGGCTTGCTGCCCGGGTATAGGTCTTGTCGATGGGGGACCTCGGGGTCGACGCCAGGGTCGAGTTCAAGCTATCGGGGATAGTTGGGAATAGGATAAAACTGAGGATATAATTAAACAAGGCTCTTTACGGCCAATACTATGCTATATAATGAAGAACAAGTAAGAGAACGATGGATATAAAGGTGGCCTCGGGCCAGTGAAAACGAGCAAGTTAGAAAGAATGGAGGGAAAGAGAGATATTATTGCACTTGTGGAGAATATAGAGCAACATCCACCCAGCCTACAAGGTAATGGGGATCCCCTTTATATAGGACGGGAGTCTGTTATGGTACATAACGTGTTAACCGTAAAGGTATGGGGATAGGATGGCTAGACATGACATCTTGAAAATAGGCCCCGGATACACCAACCATGTCAGGTTAAGTCGCGTACCTTGGGAACTCCCATGTCGCCCGTCGTAGCTTGATGTATTTGTCAAAATACGATATCATTCGGACCGATATATATCAAACCTCGAGGATGAGTCTCGACCATGGCTTTGAGCTTTGAGGGGCATGACCGAGAGATGGTTCTATGACGAGGGAGTCAAGCCCCCGAATTCTCCGTATACACTAGGAGCGATCTGAGGGAGCTATTTGTTTGAGGTTATGTACATTTTGTAGGGAGTTAATTTTTTTAGTAATCGCCTAGGGCTAGTTTTTATACATATAAATGTTTACCGTGAAAATGGTAATAACAATTAAATTTGTTGATGGGGCTCTAAAAATACGTGATCTATTTTTATGCTAGTTGTTAGAGTAGTTGCTGCTAGATATGTGAAGCTTAACAAGAAATACAAACTAGAACAAGGTTATAATCAAACCGAGGGGCGTACTGTCCGGGCCTCGTACTGACTGATGAGAGGCCTCGAGGTCGATGCCTGGTCTCGGGCTTAGGCTCGAGCTATCGGGGATAATCGGAAAAGGGCTAACAGTTTGGCTATAATTAAAGGAGGATCTTTATAGCCAATATCAAGCAATAAATGAAGAATAAGTATGAAAGCAATAAATGGAAGTGGTAGCATCGAGCGAGTAAGTTAGAGAGAAAAGAGAGAGAGAGAGTTGTTATGATCTTGTGTAGAATAGTTGGAGCAATACCAGCCCTTTACAAAGTGGTAAGGATCCCCTTTATATTGGAGGGGAAATACAACATAGTACAAAATGCATTAATTGTAAAGATACGGGAATGGGACGACTAGACATGATATCAGACTCTGATGGTGCTATCTGCTCGCCTTGGGAATTCCCCATCCTCGGGATCATCGTTGGGTCGAGCGTGAATGAACCTCGAGGGAGAGAACTCGACCACAACCCCATAACCTCGAGACCTCGATATGACTCTCTGAGAACACCTTAATAAAGAGAAATTGGACCCTCCGATTTCACTGTATACATCGTATGCTGCTTAGGCCTTAGGCGAGGCTCAACGCCTTGGCCTCATGGTGAGTTTTGATTATTGTAAGATCATTCCGGCCCCGTGCCCTTCTCTCTCCTTTTTTTTATTTAGCTTTCTTTCATAGGCCTTTGACAGGCGTAAATCCAAGCTGCTTCGTAGTGAGGCCCTATTGCGGGAAGCTTTGGATAGGGAGAAATCCCTTAAGCTTCTTTGTGCGGAAAAGGAAAGAGAGTTGGTTTCCCTACGGTGTGAGGTGGATCAGACCCGGAGCCATGAGATTCGCCTGGAGAAATAGGTACCCTAAATTTCACGCTGGCTTGCACTCCCTTTTTACCTCGGCGTCTTGATGGTTTGCTATTTCAGTTGGAGGACAAGGCGGAGGATCTAGGATAGCTCTGGGGTGAGGTTGGTTGAGCTAAACGCGAATTCAACGAGCTGCAGGCACATGTAAGTGCCCATTTTGTGGCCAAAGAGAGGGCTCTAGCCATGATTTCTGCTCTTGAGGCACAAATCTAGAACGTTCGTGAATGATTCTGCTCGGGCGAATATGATCACAAGGCTTTCGTCCAACATTTTGAAGGCAAAGACCGAGGTGGTGAATGTCCAGGCCGAGGTTGTGATGAGCAATACCAGGGTGGGACAGAAAGTGGCGGCCTATTCGAAGAGTGTTGCCATTGATAAAGCTGAACTGAAGAGAGACCTTGATTGTGCAAGCAGTAGCAAGGAGTATGCGAAGTGCAGATCCCAGAGGGAAGTCCCCGAGGAGATTCACGCTAGGGGTTTTGATCTCTCGGGGGAGATTGAGCAAGCTAAAGGGGAGGAGTATGATGCCAAGTTCTTTCTGTCCGATGCTGAAGACGGGGAGGAGGCGGCCGCCGGGCAGTAGTCCTCGATGGGGGAACATTTATTTCCTACCTTGTTCTTGTGTACATAGCTTTCATAATATGTTGTAGACGAAGCTTGTATTTCACCGCCTGTATGTAAAAAAGAAGAAACCCCATAATTTGTGACTTCTGTATTTTTGTTTGCCAAGATCTCAGTCGGGTCAATTCGACCTTTGAATTAGTAGGAATCTCCAAACCCATGATACGGCCCTTAGTTATGCATTAGTTAACTATTTTGGATCCCGTCTCTGAATCGTGTTATGACTCGAGCTCATTTTGATCCTCAAGCTTTCAAATTTTAAGCTGGCGATAGTAGCTCTTAAGCTTTTGGTCATTGCGACCTTTTAGTGCATGGCCTTGAGGCTCGTTTGGCTGGCGATAATGGCTCTTACGCTTTTGACTTTGGGCATGTGGAGGCTTTGTTTTCCTCTTATTAAGGACTTTTTAAAATGATTTTGCCTTACTCGTCGTCAGTTCGGGAAGAACCTCGATTTCAAGTCATTTTCGGCGATGTTCGAGCACCTAAGAAAGTTTAGCTCGTAGGCTGAGTAGCTCGAAGCGTTGTGATTTGGAGCTGACATGGTCGAAGCTCATTTGCCTATCGAGAGTAGCCTGTTTAACCAGTTCTTTTCGAAGTAGATTCGAAGTAATGGCCTGTGATTTTATAGCGATGGTCGGGCATCCCCGAGTCGCATTAATTTGGCTGGTGCAACCATATTAACCGTAGTCATTTGTGTTTGGCCGGAGCCATTTTTGATCCCGAGTGTGGTAGTTTAGGCGTCTACATTGAGGCTATGCCATTTCGGGACTCTTACAAATGTGACATATAGCCTAAACTTCAGGATCGAGTTTTATGCCTGTAGAAAGGTCTTACAAAATTTTCATGTCTATTGAGGTCTTACAAATTTTTCATGCCTGTTGAGGTCTTACAGTTTTTTCACACATGTTGAGGTCTTATAGTTTTTGTTGCTATGTAAAATGGATCTTGCTAGACCGATTCTGCCCGCTCGGGGTCTTACGGCCTTGGGTTTTTAGTGAGTGGCGATTGGCGACAATATTCGAGTTATCGAGTTTGCTTAGGCTCAAAGGCCGTTTCTCGTGATCTTGGAATTGCCTCATTGAGGACGCATGAGAATAGAGTTCCAACCTTGAAGCCATGCGGGTATCAAATTATTGACGCTAGTCTCCGAGTATTTCGGGATGTACTCGATAGAGGGATCCTTGCTGTGAACATGCTGAATTTTCTTTGGAGTACGAAATACTTTTGGCGAAAGATATTCTTTGATTGCTTGGCATAAGTACATGTCGTCATGTTGTTGTAAGCCCAGCTTAAGCAGACACGGTTTGTTCGACCGTTTAGCCCGGTACCTAATTTCCTATTGGAACCTCGTTTGTCTTTTCTCGATACAGGGTTGATTACAAAGGAAACCCTGTAATCTTGTTGAGTCCTTCTTTGGTAGCGCGTGGATGTTGCCTCGTTAAAAACCTTGCCGGAAAAAACCCATTTTGGGATAAAAACTCGGTCGAAGGAAAAGAGTGCAACAGACGCTTTGAAACCTCAAGGCCCTCGAGCTAGATCAGCATCCCAACTGCTTTGGTCGTTGACCTGTGTAAGAGTTACCGTGAAGTAAAAGATAGAAAAAGGGAGAGATGATTATACCTTAGTGGCGATGGCGCTCTTGGGCTTCGGCGTTCGTTTGGCGGATATGATGTGGTACTTCATTTGAATATGGCCGAGGGTGTGCATTAAAAAATCGTGTGGATGATGTGTTGGGGCTAGTCTACTTTGTTCTTTTTGGTTGTTTCTCTTTCTCAGGACTGGTTTTTAGCTCGT